TGTATTGAAGTTGAGGCCCCCCCCCCCCCACCACCACCATTGTAGGAGAGATCTAACCATGGTTTGTATATCCATTCAATGTGTATTAAAGTTGAGCCTCCCCCCATTGTAGGAGAGATCTAACCATGGTTTGTATATCCATTCAATGTGTATTGAAGTTGAGCCTCCCCCCATTGTAGGAGAGATCTAACCATGGTTTGTATATCCATTCAATGTGTATTGAAGTTGAGCCCCCCCCCCCCACATTGTAGGGGAGATCTAACCAAGGTTTGTATATTCATTCAATGTGTATTGAAGTTGAGCCTCCCCTCATTGTAGGAGAGATCTAACCCTGGTTTGTATATCCATTCAATGTCTATTGAAATCGAGTCTCCCTCCCCCATTGTAGGAGAGATCTAACCATGGTTTGTATATCCATTCAATGCGTATTGAAGTTGAGGCCCCCCCCCCATTGTAGGAGAGATCTAACCATGGTTTGTATATCCATTCAATGCGTATTGAAGTTGAGACCCCCCCCCCCCCATTGTAGGAGAGATCTAACCATGGTTTGTATATCCATTCAATGTGTATTAAAGTTGAGCCTCCCCCCATTGTAGGAGAGATCTAACCATGGTTTGTATATCCATTCAATGTTTTTGTCTTTTATGTGTTAAAATCCTGCATAGCTTCATGTTTCCTGTGTCACTGTTTGTGAGCTCACCCTGTAATCACAAACATGACTATCTTTTATTTTACAGTTATTTTGGAAAATAGACAGTTTACATATAAAACATTGAATCTTAGTGGTTGTAATGCTATGCTGAATAATAATGACGTGAGTGAGTATCTGAAGATTTCTCCCAATGGTCTTGAGGTGAGTTTGATGCAGTACACAACAGTTGATATTTGTGTGTGATTCTCTGTCATAAGGATACTTACAGCTATTCTTAGAATTATTGAGACAGTCAGTTAGCAAAATGGAACTATGCAAAACACAAGAAATGAAGAATAGTTAATGATACTAGATTTGAAAATCATCATGTTGATGAAATATTGAATCACACACAGCATGCCATCTGTCAAGCGAAGCTAGAAGTCTAGAAGCAGACAGTGTTTTGCAAAGTTTTGAGCCATTTCACTAACTGACTGTCTGAATAATTTTCTAAATGGCTGTAAATAATGTTCACTAATACAAAATAGGGACATGGTGGTAACCAGCGTTACCACCAGCGTAACCACCAGCGTTACCACCAGCGTTACCACCAGCGTTACCACCAGCGTTACCACCAGCGTAACTACCAGCGTTACCACCAGTGTAACCACCAGTGTAACCACCAGCGTTACCACCAGTGTAACCACCAGTGTAACCACCAGCGTTACCACCAGCGTTACCACCAGCGTTACCACCAGCGTTACCACCATGTCAGACGCATTATTGCAGATAGAGAAATTCAACAAGTGTTTTATTGAAGATATTGCACACTAGATCAGATCAACATATTTAATGACCATATATATAGTCATGGAACCTCATTAAAATGCATAACTGGAACATTGCACATTCAACCAGTGCTTTATTTAATATTCTCTGCCATGAAAATAATGGCTACTAGTGTACATAATCATAATAGAATTCCAGACTGCACACCACAAGTTCATTGACTTATTTACTTATTCTGAATTACAAACCAGATGTATAGTAATACAAAATAATCTGTATTGAGTTTCCATCGTTTAATGGATGTACTTTATTTTATCTAATGTGTATTTTCTAGGCACGCTGTGATGCTTCTTCATTTGAGAGTGTACGTTGTACGTTTTGTGTCAACTCTGGTGTTTGGTATTATGAAGTTACCATTATTACACCCGGTGTCATGCAAATAGGATGGGCCACCAAAGAGAGCAAGTTCCTTAATCATGTAAGTTTTAGAGATAGTGATTTTTCGCTTTATTTGCAACATTGTGTAAGGCCAGGTACCTTGGATATTGTCCCTAAAGCTTGACAGATAAAGCACTGACTGAAATGGATGTGGATTGTTGATTACAGGAGGGATATGGCATAGGAGACGACTCATTCTCATTTTCATATGACGGATGTAGACAGCTATATTGGTTCTGTGCTGAAAGTAGAAAACACTCCCACCCAATATGGAAAGCAGGTATGTTTTTACACAATGTTTGATTGATACAAAAACGAGGATAAAATAGCAATATACACTGATCTCTGTTTTGTTTGCAGCACAGTAGATAACTAGCAGATTCCATAGTTGTGTATCCTTGTTGGAAACAAAACTCCTCTCCAGAGGCATTAACTTTTGGGATTTCTTCATCATTGAGGGCTTCTTCTATTGAGTTGGAAATAGACATTTTGTTACCCTGCACTAGCACAGATGAACTGCTTATTACGCTATTTCATGGAGGAACTTATTGCACTGTTTTGTGAACTCTTCTCAAACTGATGAAATGTTTTGAAAACATTATAATAACTTACCTTCTCATTTACCAGCGTAAAATTGCACAACCTCCACGGTTACCACATCACAAAGTCTGAATGTTGTGTAGTTGCTATGCCGACATGTGTTATTTCTGTTTCATTAAATTTTAATTATAGTTATTTATATTTCAGGTGATGTTGTTGGATTCCTTTTGGACTTAGAAAAGAAGGAGATGATATTTTCATTGAATGGTCACTGCCTACCACCAGAAAACCAACTTTTTGTCTCAGCCAGGTAAGATAATAATATGGCACTGAGTAGTGAATGCTGCTGTGACTTTTATTTGCTATGAGAAGAAGATATAGTGAACAATCAAGTAATTCTGAACAACAACTAGACTGAACTAGATCAATTTTTAGATCACAGATCACATTTTTCTGCTAGTTTGTTTTTTTGTCAGTAACAAAGTTATAGTTCAGCATACAGCTGTATAATACATTACAAATACCTGTCTCTGGTAACATGCTCACAACCAAGGTAACAAAATTAATTCAGAATGTACATGTATATTGTTACTATAAAGTGCATATACTAAGTATCATAGTGTGACGTTTTGGGGACTACTTTATTGTGTCAGAATACATACTTTTGTAATGGTGTTATATGTCACTTGATCACCCAAGTGTATTGATATGTAAAAAGTAGTGCCGTTGGTGTAACTGAAAATGGTGGAATAAACAAGAAGTTAAACTTGAAAGCTCTCTGGCTTCTTTGATGTTTCGTCAATACATCACACATAGTAGTTTCAAAACCTGCAGTAAAATAGTACATTTACACAAATTTTGTTTTATCTTTCACTGCAGTTCTGAATTTTTCGCTGCTGCTAGTTTCATGTCCTTTCAACAGTGTGAATTTAACTTTGGTATGAAGCCATTCCGATATCCACCGTCAGTGCCATTTGATAGCTTTAATGACCACGCTGTTCTCAAAGATGATGAAAGAGTCATTCTTCCAAGGTATTTCCGACCATTACATGCATTTTTTAAGTACATTGAATTATTTTGAAAGCACACTATCTGACACAACTCAATGTACCAGAATTGCATAAGGTACACATAGAGAAATCACAATATCAAAATAATATTTTATTTTCTAGATGTGTTCTACTTTTTTTATCACATCTCTGATCCCTATATATAGAACACTCAATGGCTGTACTTTTTTTTTCCAGGCATCAGAAGCTGGCCCTACTTAGACATATTAGTGTCAGTGAGGGCGCTTGTAATCTCTGCTTTGATAAACTTGCAAATACAATACTAAAGCCCTGTGATCACAGGTATGTACTCATATCACATTACATTCATATTGTGAGTGAGCAATGATGTAGATATCATCCATTCTTCTCATGTTAGCGGGGCTGTCTAATCTTAGTACTCTGTTTCATAAAGACACTAACATCCCATATTGAAATGCTGTCAAGTCTAACAATGATAGAGAAAAGGGAGTTATGGTTGGTGAACTTTCACTTCCTTTTCAGACACTACTGATAAAAACTCATTACCTGAAATGTCTGGTTATATTGGATAATTATCAATGACTGTGATTATGAGGTTTTTACGAGGGCACCACAAAGTAAACAGTACAGCTGGAGTATTGACCTGATGCGCACTGTCTGAGTGCATACTTTGCGGTATGCTCGCATTAACCTTATTATTATACATCTTTTCCTCCCAAGGAAACATCATGAGAATGCCAAAATCCAAAAAGTTTCGAACAGATTTAGCAAACTTTTTATGTGGGGTCTGATCAAAGCCTGGGGGCTATCATGTTTGTTTTTTGACTCCCGTGTGCGAAGCACAAAAGGGAGTCTTTGCAGTTACCCTGTCTGTATGTCTGTATGTCTGTATGTCTGTCTGTATGTATGTATGTATGTATGTATGTATGTATGTATGTATGTATGTATGTATGTATGTATGTATTTGCATACGAACGTGTCTCCACACAGCTCCAGGAAAACCTCTGAATTTCACTGTCAAATAGCTAAGTAGCTCATTTTTGTTACAACCAGAGTTTTTGTAAATACTTTGTGCCTCTGGTTGATACGTTTTAAGCTTGTTTTAGGCATAAATCTGCCAATTTTTGGGTGTTTTTAGTTTTTGTGTTGCTGGGGTTGTGCTAGTGTGCGTGCCAAGATGGCCGCCCCCATAGCACGGTCACGTGTTTCATTGTTCATGGGCATGACACGTAAACATGCCATCAAGTGCGAGTCACTTGATGGTGTTTCTATTGAGATGTATGCGCAAGCTGTTGCAGATATTGTTGGAGCTAAAAATGTGGTTGCTGCATCTTCTATCAACCGCAGCGTTATTATTTTCCTTGGTTCTGTTTCATGTGTTGAACAGGTTTGTTCACAAGGTATTATTGGAATTGGTGACAGTTTTCTCTATGTAGAGCCACTGGTGAAACCGGCGACGAAAGTCACATTGTCAGGTGTACAACCCAAATGACGTGTTAGAGCGTGAACTCTCGAACTATGGTCGAGTAGTTTCCTCTATTCGATACAATCCACTCGGATGTAAAAATCCTGTCTTGAAACATGTACAGTCGTTCCGTCGACAAGTATACATGTTGTGTGATGAAAACTCTATCCAGGGTTCGATTCTTTTAACCCATGAACAACGTAAAACTAGAATATACCTGTCGACGGATGAGATCACCTGTTATAGATGCTCTAAAAAGGGACACACTCAAAAAAATTGCCCAGATAAAATTGCTGTCAATGGGATCAACACTACATCTACTGAAAATGAATTACCTGACAACCCTGACAGTGATAATGGTAAAACAACTAATAATAGAAATATACGACAAACTGATTCTCTACCAATTGATTATGAAAATATCCAAGAGAGAATTTGTGAAAACAGTGAAATTACCACGAATAGTAACGATAAATACGATGAGACAAATACTTCAACTAAAACAAATAAATCTACTGACAGCGCACTGACGAATGAAAATACAAACGAGAACATGATTATTAATCAACCCGAGGATGACCCACTTGTTACTGAACCTAGCGCTATTGTTATGACAGGTGCTGACCTGGTCTTTGTAATGATAATGACCTAAACAACTCAGAACCAACTATGAATATATTAGAAAGTAATGGTGAGGAGGTTTTAACCCTTCCTTCAATTTCCACTCCCTCGGGATCTTCATGCACCCACGGCTGCACCTCCTGATTACCCCTCGCAAATAGATGTTTTGGCAAGTGCTACCATCCCACCGCTCTTCCTTTTGTGGATGCAGACGAA